AGTTAAAATGCTCAGTTTTGTAAGAGCTGGGGTTCTTTTGTAGCCAGCACTCACAGAGGGCTCCCACAGAACGAATCTATGTATTGCACTGCAGATGGAAAACAGACTAGTGCCCCTGCAAACAACTAGAATTAAAACAAAGGCAGCTTCTAAGGGGAATCTCATTGAGTTAAATTCCCTGTGTTAATTTTTTTTTTTTTTTGAAATCTTATTTGCAAAGTAGCCCAACTAAGGTATTGGGTTTTAAAGCTATAAATTATGTCAAAGCCTGTCTAGTAGTAGGTTGCTTTTCATCGCCACTTGCTTCTCCCTTCACCTTGTAAGACACTAGAGAAGATGTTTTCCAAGTATATTGTTATTTAAAGTTAATGGAGAAAACTTCTGAATGAGAGCAAAGACCTGTCCACAGAGCTGGCCACGTTCCCACAAACAGCAGCCAAGGATAAAACCGCAGATGTGCATCAGTGTCCACAGTTTCTCAGAGAGATGGATTTCCCTTCTTTCCCTAAATGCCCTAGTTATTAAAGATTCTCTCTTAAAATGCCTCTCCTGTTTTTTGGGATATATTTTACTAACTGCTTGTATCTCCTGCTCCACGGAACAAGATCCTGCAGGGTTTGCGGTACACGTTCTCTGTGGACTGGTGGTCATTTGGGGTCCTGCTGTATGAGATGCTGATTGGCCAGTCCCCTTTCCACGGGGATGACGAGGATGAACTGTTTGAGTCAATCCGAGTGGACACCCCTCACTACCCACGCTGGATTACCAAGGAATCAAAGGACATATTAGAAAAGGTAAGACTGATGATCAGCGTGGGGGTCCCAGTACTGTCTCTGTCCAAGGAAGGGCAAACTCAGGCTTTGGAAAGGAGCTGTTTCTCAGCAAGCAAATTGCCCTTACCAAGGGAAAGCCAGGTCAGATTAATTACTAATGATCTGTTAACTGTCAGCAACCTCAGTTCTTTTAGCAGCATATCTGTTTTTCTTCCACTGCCACGTACCTTTTGAGCAGATGGAAGACTTTACCGAGTGTCTTCTCTTGCAGCTCTTTGAAAGGGATCCAGCAAAACGACTTGGGGTCACTGGGAATATCAGAGACCATCCTTTCTTCAAAACAATCAACTGGACAGCGCTAGAGAAGAGGGAGGTGGACCCTCCTTTCAAGCCAAAAGTGGTACGTGAGTTGTTCTTTGTTCTGTGGCAAACAGCAGCTTCAGGGGAAGGGGTGACTTCTGTAAACTGCTCCAAGTATTCCACTGCCACTGTCTCCTCACATTTTACAAATGAGGAAGCGTGCATCTGAAACCCCCTTGTTCTTACATGGTTCACTTATAAGAAGGTGCACTGTATAGCTTTGACTGCCCAGAAATCTTCCTATTAAGACTGTCTTCCTACGTGCTCTCAGGGAGCTCCTTCCTGAATAAAATCTCCAGGACAATCAACAGATAGTTCTCCTCTGTGTTAGAAATGTTCATAGTTCCTTGTGGTTTCCTTTTCTGCAATGCCACCTGGGAGAAGCACCAGTAGCTTGAGGCTACTGTAATGTAGTAATCTTTAGTAATGTCATTTTTTATGAAACACACAGGCACAAATATTTTATCCAGACACAAAGCAGCTGCTATAGGACACTGCTTTTTTTTTCTCTGAGCAAGTACAGCCTATAAAATGCTCACAGGAATTTAAACACTTTGGTTAATGGCAAGAAATATTGGGCTTACATATAAGTAAATGCTGCATTGCTACTGCCAATAGATAATATTTGGGTAATTGTGCAGTATTATCACAAATCCATGTGGTTCTTCTCCAAAGCAATCTGGTGCTATTTGTTTTTTGTTTGTTTGTTTTTGTCTACTAATAAGCAATCACCCAGTTATAATCTTAGTCTTGTTAAAATAGGCTAAAATGAGATTTTTTTTTTGTCTCTAAAGCAAGGGAAGAAGGGAGGGAGCTCAGTCTTTTGTGTTTAAGTAATTTGTTCTGGAATAAATTAAAAAGTTTGTCTCAAACCATCTTTCCTCTCTAACACAGAAATCAGCAAGTGACTACAACAACTTTGACAGAGAATTTCTGAGTGAGAAGCCAAAACTGTCCTACAGTGACAAAAACCTGATCGAGTCCATGGATCAATCTGCATTTGACGGATTTTCTTTTATTAACCCTAAATTTGAACAGATCTTGAACAAGTAAGTCTCTGAAGAGCTGGACTTCAAAGCAGGGTTACACATTACAAACCCACACGCCCGAGTGTTAATGCATTCCAATGACGTTGTCGATACTTCAGAATAATACACAGTAGTGTGATGAATTATGTCCAACTCCTGATTTATTGGCAGTGTTTTTATGCATGGTTGGGTTTAAGGTATGTGAATCATGTGCATTATTTTCTCTGTTTGGGAAAATGTAAATTCTGTTTGGTACTTGAATGTAGTTATGTGTTATATATATATATATATGTGCTGTATATTTTGCTCGAGAGAAGACATTGGGGAACAGAAGATGTCTTTTTAAAATGTGTTTGAGCCCTTGGTTCTTTTATTTGTCTTCAATTAAAAGAAAGTTTAATGTAACTTTCATTCATGACTCTATGATTTTTAACAATATACAATTAAACTCCAGTTGTCTTTAAATTACAGTGGAACTGTAATTTAAACTGCTTGCTTTCCTAAAATATTTATGTTGGTTTTTATGTGAATTAACTAATGAAGAATCAGGCAAAAGCAGAGATTCCTAGTGTAACACCAGCTGCTGTGGGAAACAGCTCTGTGCTGCTTTCAAAGAATAAATGCTGCACATTTATTCCAAGGCAGTCCAAGCAGGCAACAGAGGCCTAAGCATCCCAGAAGTGCCCCATCCTGCCTGGGAGTGTGGGGTTTTGCCATTAAATGCCAATTCCTATTAACAGAAAGAGGCACCATGATCAGAGCAGCTGATCCTAGTAGGACAAAATTGCCAGGTAATGACTGTGTGGAGCTCTCGAGTTACTTGCCTGCTCTGCCAGAGATAAATTATCCTGCTTTACTGCCAAGCACAGAAGCCAGTTTTGTTTGCTTGTTTGTAACAGAGCAGCTGTGCCTCCTACTTGCTGTTAAGGGCACAAAACTAGATCCTGCTTTGTTGCAACACCTACTTCTGAATACTGATTTTTTTTTTTTAACCATTAATGAGTAAGAAAAACTAATTGTATTGCTGCAAAGCTCTTTCTAAAACTCTTCTCCTTGCAATCAGCTCATAAAATACAGACTAAGGCAAGGTCCCTTGCTTCCTATAACACTACTGCAGATGATTTCATTTTCTCAACAGTGAGCAGGTGGAAAAAACCAGTCTGGGTGTCAGTTCATCCAGGAGTTATACAATGCTCCAGACCTTTAAGGAGCACCCTGGAGCTTCTGGGTAGTTTCAGACTGTTAATCCTGCTGAAAGAGCGGGAGAAAGCTGTAACACTTTGTAGGGACTCAAAAGAATACAGTGCTGCCTTTGTTCCTCTCCTAAAGAACAGCTGTTGCAGTGCCAGCACCACTCAGATGCCATGTGAGATTGAGGCTGGAAGGGGCAGAACACAGCTGGCATTTCCAAACTGCCAGGGTTACCACCACACACACTTACACAAACCCCTGTCCAGGGGAAACAAGCAGTGAGGTGCTCCAGGGAGAGCAGAAAACTCAGCTTTTTTCCTTCACATACCCTACTAAGTAATTTCTAGTTTGCTGGTTTTTCACCAGAAAGGGATTTTGCTTTTGCTTTCCAAAGTGACAGTGAAAGCACACCGGGCACTTGCTCCTGAGCAGAAGTGCTTTTCTAGGTAAGAACTTACAAATGTGGGTGCCAGCAGCATGGCAAGGAGCTGTAATGAATTACAAGTAGGACTAAGTGGTGTTTGTGGGAACATCTGCTCCCTGCACTTACCTTCTTTGCTCTGGAGTAACCAGTGCCAAGCGTGCTCAAGAGGAGATCGTGGTCTTCACAGAGCAACTCCTCCAGCTGGCATTTGACTGACTGACCAGGAGCAGCTCCTGCTGCCACAACTGTGCCTTCTGCCAGCCCAACTGCACTCACAACACCTGGGCACAGACACCTTTCCTCCATGGAACAGCTACTCCATCCCTCCTCCTGTTCTGTTCACAAGGCCCTGCCCTGCACCACCAGTACCTCCTGACAGCACAGACACAAAAACTCAACAGCCTGTACAGCTCCTCAGGCCTCTTCTGCTGACCTGCTGCACCCCAGGGCCACCTGCCAGGCAGCAAAAGTCAAGAGTTCACTCACTCATCAGGTCTGGGTCATCCTCATACTACAGGAAGATGGAGGTATTAAAGGATTTGTTCCAGAAAGCAGCCTAAAAGCTCTAAAACAGAACAAAAAAATCACCTCCCCTCCAAACAGAAATGCACAGTGGAGTGAAAAACAATGAAAACACTCCTCCCACTTAGCAGAGAAAATACATTGGTTAGCATCCAGAGGCATACAGCCATCAACAAGACATGAAAAATCTGAGTATATAACTCTAAACCACAAAGCAGTAATTAATTTTGTCCTTATCCTTCAGAATGACTTTGTCCTTATCCTTCAGAATGACAAACACCCCTGCAAATTTTATTCCCTCCACCTAATGTCTGCATGCAAACTTGTACTGACAGGCAGCATTTGGAAGTCAACATAAGAACAGTGTAGCTCTGAGGGTGTGGATCAGATCTTAATACCAATGACCAGGTAAAACTAATAAAGTCTTACCTTTCTCTTCTGCTGTGTGCAAATCTTGGCTTGTATTTATATCATCAGTTCTTCCACTTCCTTCCTCCATTACTGAGTTTGTTACTTAATTATTTGCAGAGTAAAGCAATCAGTGGGGTGAATGAACTTAATTCTTAAGCTGATGGATAAGCTCTCGTAACACTGGTGCAATTCCTACGCCTGTGGAAATTGTGGAAACCTGCTGAGGTGCAGGAATGCTCACCTGGCACTTCAGCCACTGGAACTGGACAAGGAAAGAAACACACACGGGTGCACGTTGTAGCATTTGATCTTTATTACTTGGATCAAAGGTCAAATGATTACATTTGTCTGAAAGATCACGACGAAGGCCAACGATGTAAGAAAAGACAATCCCATTCAAGAGACTGCATCTGAGCCAGGCAAGTGCAGTAACAGTCAGAGGCAGTAAAGTAAATGGGTACAAACACAGACAAGGGTTTTCCCCTCTCCTGTCCGTGACCAGTCTGGCAGGAGGGGGGACATACACTTTTAGAAAGTGACAATAATCTGCATTTCTCAACTGTGCCTTCCCAGAAAGGCAGTGATGGTTACACCCCAGGAGAACCCATCACTCACTCCAAATCTACATTCACCTCAACTCTACATTCAAATACAAATACAAATTTACACCTGCTCTTGCCAGCCAGGGTCGGATGCAGTCACTGATGTAGTACCTTCCTAACACAGAACAGACAACTTCTTTTTTTTTTTTTCCTCTTCAAGTATCAGCACAACAGTTTATTTACACTTGTATACAATTCTTTTTACTGAACACCCATTGTAGTAAAACACTCATCACAGTATATTTGAAAGCAGGCTATAAAAATACCTACTGTACATAGAACATTAAGCCTCGAGGATGTTACAGCACCTCTGACAGTTCAGAGAGGTAAAACAAAGGGAGAGAGGAGACACTTCAAGCCGTGCTCACCAGCAAAGAGAAGCAGTTTCTGGGCTCAGCTCTCACTGGGGCAATATTTTCCTTCCACCAACATTTCTTCAGCCAGGTCTGAGCTCAAGAAGTATCACAATCTGCTGGTAAAATCCTGCTTTTTTAATGCAGCCTCCTGGGATTTGCCCTCTGTAGCTTGGGATAAAGCCTGACATTCTCAGTGTAAAAACTTTAACCACTCCTGTCACGGCTGGATGGTGCAGGAGCAAGGGTTGCCTGGCTTTCCCACGCCAAACTGGGGCGAGGAGGGGGAATTACTCCTACAGTTTCACCACAAAGGTGGCCTTGTTAACTCCACATCAATAAATTAACTCCTCTGAGCAGCGCTGTGTGGGCTGTCTCCTCACTCCATAACTACAGACACAGCTGAATTAATAAGGTCTGAAATGGCATTACCAAATGCAGGGATGACACACACACACACACACAAAGCTTTAGACAGCAGCACTTGAAGCAAGTCTTTCTGGTCACACATTCCTCTTCTGAAACAGAATCCAGGGATGCTCTATGGCTTACTTCCAGAGCTGAATATATTGCTGAATTTAGCTTATTAAAAGAAATTAATCACAACAGCAGCACATTATTTAATAAACCCTGCACAAACAAAAGACGATGTAGCCCTTGCCTGCAAAACGATGTTACGAGGGCCTGGTATTTCACACAGGAATTAACAAAACAACAGAACAACCCCAACAACTTACGTGGTAAAAGCTGAATTAACTGAAGAGTTTCCTTAGAAAAAACACAGTCAAACTATCAAAGAATAGTTCTCCTCATTTCAGAGCTAGAGCCAGCAGCAGTGCTGGCAGCTCACTTCAGCTGTCTCGTAACACGCATACAAAATACACTTTGATTTAGTACAGTTAAAAAGGCTGTGGCCTCAACAGACATAGACAATTCCATTTTTAGCACTGGAGTTTCACTAGGCATAAAAGAGCAGAGAAGAACTGGGATGATGGAAGGTGCTTAAAAACAATACAAAAAAAACCCTCAAGGCAGGAGTGCCATGTTAAAATTATTTCAGAATTTACCTGGTGTTTTTCTTGCATGAGCTGTTAGAATGGTTAAACTCACCTAACCTTTCTGTACTGTTTCCTGATGTACGTATTAAATGTTGCTATAAAAGAGAAACATATACTTTTATGTTGAAATACATTCCAAAAATTGCCTAAAGAAAAGAAATAATCACAACACTAACAAGACAAGCAGCTTCTTCAGACCCTGACAGTCTGAATCCTTCTCCCCTCCCTTCCAAACTCAGAGAAGCTGCTCATCCCCTCCCATAACTGCAGCAGACAGGACATGTCTGTCTTTCTCTGTCTCTCTCTTCATTCATTCCCCAAGCTGCCAGCTGTACTCACACTTATGCCCCCCACTTAATACTGTGTCCCCCACTGCCCTCCAAAATACAGCTGAAGACTGGAAAATGTTAAAATCTTACTGAAGCAGCAGAATCTTTCAGGTAGCAAATCTAGCTTTAATGCTTTGATTTTCCAAAGGGAAAGTCTCCCCTCAGAAATTTCAGAAAAACTGTAAGTTGTTGTTGGCAAACCAAAGCTCAATTTAAAACACAGAACAGCTATCAGAGCTGATGGGCTTCTCCATTTAAAGCAGCTTTGCAACATGAAGCCTCCAATGCTCAAAATGTAAAATTTCACCCATTTTAAATACACCATCAAAAAATCTCCACGTAATTCTAGGCAATCATTCACAGTAAAAATAAGAGGAACTCTTAGAAAAACACTTAAAAAGAAAGTAAAGTCTAGTTAAAATCTGACAGTAAAATCAACACGGGCAATTAACCATCTTGCACAGATGAACAGTAAAAACCCACTGAAACTGCACAAATTTACATATGAAAAAAAAAATAAAATCTTAAAACCAACTCCATTCTGCTTCCCACAATCTTTTTACTGATACCTTTCGGCACTGGGAGTTATCCACAACTACAGGTTTTCTCCAAAGAAGCGGAATCACATTCGAAATGTCTCAAAGGGAAGGGGAGGCGTGTTCATCCCGACCCGCTCCGACACCTTCTCCACCTCTGGGCCCTGAGCTGCGCTGGAGGAAGGGCTGCTGCCCCGGGGGCTGGAGCTATAGGTGGGTGGGCACTGTCCTCAAAGCTTCTTCTCTCGACCGATCCACACCTACATTCTGCAAATGTAAAGACAGAAAAAAGACTGTAAAGCAAAGGTCTCACAGCCAGGCGTGGTTTGGCTTAACACCAGGCTATTACTTAGAGATAAGTCTGAATGCTTATTTCCTCAAAATGGTTTGTAAAACACAAGGAATGGTCCCAGTCCCTGAGCTGGAGTCAGAACCAGGCTTTGACTTTGTTCCAGGCACTTCACAGAGCCCCTCAGATACCCAAAAGCAGGATCTCTGCTGCTGGTGAAAAGCATCCCTAAGATATGTATTACAGCAGGTCTGGTAGGACAGTTGGTCTCTGTACACCATATGCAGATCACAGTGTGACGGTTTTTAAGACCTTTTTATCCTTTTAACCACAGTTTTAACCACATCTTTCTAATGCCCTGTCTCTCCTGGTCTTTATGGACATAGTAAAAGGAGAAACAGAACACTGCAAAGGTCATAAACCACACAAGCATCAATAAAATCTGGAGGGAGGGACGCCCACCTCTCCTTGTTCAGAGAACACTGCAGGAAATGACTCCTTAACACCAGCAGCCATAAAGCCAATTCTGATCCTCCCTGTGAGCAGCCAAGTTACTGGAAGAACTCTGAGTAACTCCCTCAAGAGCTGGTAACATGAAGTGTTCCCTAAAGAGCTGGTAACATAAAGTTTAAATGCACTTCAGGGTACACAGGCATGTTGGCAGATGTCACACTGACATCAGGGTATGTTTCAGTGGCTTTATAACCACATTCATTAGAGTTCACTTTCCAAACAAGTCTCTCCAGTCCAACTCCAGGGAAAGGAGAGCCCCTCGAGCACCCAGCAAGGGGCACTCTCAGCACACCAGACACACAACACCATCAGTCAAAACACATCAACTTAAAAAGCAATTCAATCCTCTCCTCAACCCCAGTTTCTAGATTTTTAGCCATTTCTTAAGAAAACAGGATATAAACAAGCAGCACCAGATCTTCTTTGGGGGTTGAAGTGTGCCAACATCACTTCTGCCCTTACCAGTTCTCCTACATCCATGTCAGCCCTTTCCTTTCTCATCAGTCTTCAAGCTCTCAGGTAAATTCCCTTGTTTTCCACCCTAAACACCACACAAAGGTTTCTGAGAACACACACACAGAACACTGGGCAGAGTCCTGAAAACCCCTGCACCCACCAGCACATGGCTTGACCCACTCTGACTTCTCTCTTTGAAGGAAAGTAAAGCAACAACCCAATTTCAGGAAGAAGCTTCTAGAGGAAGCATCTCTTCTACACCAAGGGACACACAGAAAGCACCAACATCTGTCTAAGAACATGAGGAGCTGGCAGAACAAGTCATATTCTGCATGACTACATAGCAGGGGAAAAAAACAACCAGCCAACAGAACATGCTGGCATTTGGTGTGTTTGTTTGTGTTTTTCTTAGCAACTTATGCAACTTATACTCAGAAATTCCTTGGGACTGTGGAGATGTCTCCACAGGCACTCCAAGAATATTGGCTGAAATCTTTTAAGCTGATCATCTGATGTTGATTCAAAGAAAATTAAATGGAGCATGAAATGGAGCATCAGTATGCAGGAATCCAGGGGTACTGGGAATTAATCCCCAAGCAACAAGGACTAGAGAGCTCTAACATGAAACTAAAAGGAAACAAGGTGATTAAGGCATGGCAGAAGATACCTCTCACTGACTGAAATAAGCTGTACTGGATGAAAGCAGCATCTTAGCAAGTGAGACAGACCCAGGGGGAATATCAATACACAGGCAAGAAAGTTGAAACCAAAAAGTGGTTGGATTTGAATAAACACAAACAGGCTGTGGAAGCGAAGCACTGAACTGTCACAGTGAGGGAAGAAAACTCAGATAAACCCTAATAAACACCCCCAAGGGCTTCTTAGACAAACACAATATATAAGAGCAAGACCAGATGAACAGAGGCTTAAAAAGGGACCAGTATCCTCATTAACAATAAATGGATTCCTACTCATAGGAATCCCATTAGATGAGATGATGGCAGCTGGGATTGTATCCACTTCCAGAACAGCCAAGGGCATGCAGAGGGAAGAGCTGTGCAATGAGGACAGTGCTGCTGCTCAGAAAGGTGACTGAGGTTACTGCCCTACTTTTGGGACCAAAAGGTGGCTCTGCAACTGCTCAGCACTACCTTCCCAAAGCACACACCTGGACAAACCACCATCCTGCCACACACCAGCAGCAACATGGTCTGAAGAGGCTGGGAAACACAGCAGTGGGAATAAAACCCACACACACCTCTTGTGAATACTCTTTCTACCAAGGCATACGGACTCTCACTCAGTCAGCCCAGGCAGGGGTTCACTGCTTCCAGGGCCCGCTCCCTGAGGCAGGAGCAGCGTCACTCTGCCTTACACAAGGGTCCATCTCACCCAGTCCTCCCTGAAAAGACTCAAAACAGACAGATTAACTCAAATACACTCCTATATCACCATTGTTCTTCTCCTCATTACACTCTTCCCTTCGTACAGTTTTTCCCTACAGAGCAGAGCCTCCCCCAGCAAAGTGCTGTCAGTCTCTGAACAGGACAGGCCCTGCCATCCCAGTTCTACTTTGATTTAGCTACATGTGATCTGTGATCTTCACAGCAGAACAGGAAGATTTCACAGAAAGGCTCCTCTAAGGAAAAGGAGAAGCCTCTAGGGACAAGAACCAACACAGGCACAAAGACAGAAATAAACAGCACGATACAAACATTCCAGCCTCCATCAGGCAGCTTTCCCACGGCAAAGCTGTGCCACCAACTGTCCCTGCCACTCCCCGTCCAGCATCAGGCCTTTTGTTACTGAGGAAGTAAGCCAGAGAGGACTGTTGAGCAATCCTGCTGTAAGAGGAGACCCCTTAGAGCATTCTGCTTTTAAATATCCGCTTCACTCCGTTGCACACATCAGCACAATGAGTGCTGTGCTCAGCAGAGAACAACACGCAGCCACAGCCCCAGGAAATCGGGCTGGCAGCAGCTGGCAGGGGTGGAGGGTCCTGGGTGCTTCTGCTGCTTCTCCTTCCTCTACAACCTCTGCCAGAACAGGCAAGCTCAGCTTTCCTCTCCAGCCACGTTCCTGCCTTGTCCATCCTCCCCGTCCATTTTCTCCGACAGCCCGAGCCCTCCTTTCTCAAGCAGCAAAACTCAGTTTTTCCACAGCAGACACCTGCACACGTTTTGGCTCCATCAAAAATGCAACACATTTAGTTTAAATTATTTCCTGCAGAGGTGACAGCACTCCGAGCTGTCTCCATGCAGCTACTCAGTACCCAACTCTGGCCAGATCCCTGCTACCCCTGGGAATGCCACCTCAGCTGTCAGGTAAGAGCAACCACACTCGCTAACTGGTGTGTGCAAGAGGGTATGGCAGCTCAGGTCTCCTCCAGAGCTCATGCCCAGGGGCTGGAGCAATTAAACAAGGAAAAGTGACCAAACACTCCTGTGTCACGGTCATAAACAGCAACAGGAAAATGATCCAGGTTCCCCCAGCCCATCCTGGGACGCTGGTTTAACTAAATACCAAGCAGTACAGCAGGAGGCTTTTTGGCCAGGAGGTTATTTGGTTATGGCAGACATTTCCAACTTCTGAAAACTTCACTATAACTTTAGAAGTGCAGATATGCAACACATTCTTTCTGAAATCCTGGTTCTGGAAAAACGTACTACCTGAGAAACCCAACAGATAAAAGCTTTCCACAACCTACATTCACCCTTGCTTACATTCAAGACTAAAAGACCCCCTTAGAAAACAGTTCCAGGATATGGTGGGTTTTCTGCCTTTCCTACCTTAGTGGTGTCTACTCAATGGCACAGGTGATTCCCATGGCCTCATGTTGCCCATCGTGCCCAGGAAGGCCCCGAGGCACCACGTCCCCAACAACCTGCAGCCTGTGAGAGTTGTTCAGTTTTGGATTCATGCCCTGCTGGTTTGAGATCCCCTGTCTGCTGGAGCACAACCCAGCTTCAAAATCCTCTAACCCTCCTGTTCTGAAACAGTCAAGTGGTGCTTACTGGAGCCCAGATAAAATCTGGGTACAAAACAACTGGAGCAGAACTGTAAATGCTTGATCAGCCGTGTCTGTACAAGAAGCAGGAAAAGAGGGAATTTAAAATCACTTCTGCTGACGGGCAAACCCTAAAGCCGAGTTAATGCAGAACATCTGTTAACAAAAGTCATATATTAAAAACATTTATACACATTCCTCTTCTTTGAATAATTGTCCTGGAACTAAGTGAAGACTTGCTACCCTTCTCCAACAGTACATTATTAATTAGCATGTGTAGAGCACTAGTGCTATGGACCAGCAGGATTAGGGGTTTACAACTATGGGTTGCTACTTTACACTACACAGCAGTCCAATCACTCCCAAGGGCACTGAAACAGATAGTACTGGTGCCTAGAAAACAAACTTCAGACTTTCTTATCTCACACAGGATGTTGTGTTTCATGGCTTTCATAAATACACTGCAACTAGCACTAAATGATTGCTGGCTGCTACAGTAAAACTTAATGCTGCAGGATATTTAAATTACAGCAATTTACAAAACCAGCACTCCAGCAAGAGCCGATCAATGTTTGATAAGTCATCCACAATAAATCAGCCAGTGCAACAGTTTTATTGTGATTTGATAATCTTTTCAAGGCTGTACAGACATTTGGTTTGGATTATGAGTTGGGTTGGGGTGGGGCTTTTTTATTTCAAAGTGATTGAAATTATTAGTTTTTCAATTTATTTTGAAGTAGTAGGATGAAAACAGCACCCCAAGTTCAATAGTTGATCAGCACACAGGATTCATTGATGAGCAGGGACTGTTACAAGAGCGTCCTCGGGAGGTCTGGAAATGTCTACATTCTGTATAATAATAAAAATACAGAGAATATTTATCATGCAGCAGTACGAGCAACAAAACCACCCATCAGATTCCTTCACAAGTACACAGCTGCATTGATTCAGAAGCAGTGATTTTTTTTTTAACCCCCCACACCCCAAGAGTGCAGCAGAGTGACAGCCAGTCACTGTCCCAGAGCGAGACAGCAGGAAAATGTATTTACAGCAATCACTGACCCCCCGCTGACAGCACTACCAAAAGCTCAAGTCATTCACATTTAGGAAGAAGTCTTTTACAGGCCCAAGCAGGAATCTACTTAATCATGTGCTTCAGCACATACACATCTATCCATTAGGCAACTTGCAGTGTTTTACTGAACTATGCCACACACTTCTGTCCCAAGAGAAGACTTGTGACATTTGTTTGTGTTATAGGCACATACCAACCCTGACAAAATTAAAAGATATATTCTCAGACACGCCAATCTTTCAAGGTTGATTACACCAACTAGGTGTCACCTCATTTTGCAAAGGCTGCAGAAAAAACCATGACATTCAATTATTCAAAACCAAACAAAACCAAGAGCCCAGCACAGCCAAATGCTCCTGCTGGGAAGTACAGCTGAGGGCAGCCACATGGAACCAGCTCAGGAATCACACCTGCCCCATACACCTCATGCAAGTCCCAAAGACCCTGCAATCAGTATTCTCCCTTCTACCAAGAGAGCAGACTATAATAAACTGTTCTGAAGCTCCTTACGAGACCCATTTTAGGCCAAATCATTGCCAGTTCTTCAAACTTCATGCTGACAGGCTGCCTGAGTCTTACTTGTTTCACAGCTTTCACCACCACCTCCCTCTCCCCTCCCCAAACTCAAAAGGAAATCTGGGTTTCGTGCTACGAGCAATCTCCCTGTCAGTCATTCACCAACTAAGCCAGAGATGCAAAGCAGACATTTCACCCCAGTGCTTGTTTTCTGGCCCAAAGAGGGGACCCAAAGCAACTCCCCTGAATTATTTTCAGTAAAAGACCATAGACTCCTTCACTGGAAAAGGTCAGAACTTCGGCCACTGTACTGCCGACAAACACAAGGCTTCAATCCGCTCCAGACAAAACCACCATGGTACAATGAAGTTCACACATACCAGAAACAAACACTCCAGAGCCTTGCCTGCATTTCTGCCACGTGAAAATAGAGGCTTTCAGCTGAGCCCAAAAGGAGGGCACTGTTCTGGACTACAAGTGACTGGTGGGGGCACAGAACAGCCCACTGGGCAATTCTCAATCCAACAGTTTCATTGTTTAACAATGTTGTTATGTGATGCTGCATTTAATTAAATGCTCTGACTTCAATAGACCACTTGAAAACTTAATTTTACAGAAGTAATTGACATTTTTGTAGGTGATGAAAATCAAAGCTTTTGAAATTTTCATAGTTCTGTGAGCAGCATTTAAATGCAAACAGGACCAACTCAGTCCTTCAATCAGACCTCCTAAATGAACAGTGTCACCACCCACAATCACCAGGCTGGGTTTCCTTCGGGGTAGAGGGAGAAGGGAATTTGAGAGGTTTTAATAAAAATGCCTCTGCTCCTTTTTTTTTTTCTTCTTTTAATATTCATTAACTCAATTTACTTCTGTTCCCATTAGTCTTGTGTCTTTGTGTCCACTGCAATGGAACTGTTTGCATGATCCTCTACATGCACCTGGAACACAGACACCCCACACCAGCATGGCCACATCACCAGCTAGACACATTGAGAGTCACTTGGATATTTATTTCAGTCACTTGAAATAAACCACCTCAGTTAGAGGAATGCTATTTTCAACAACATTTAGCAAGCTGTAAATTCACCAGCACCAATATTTTAATCAGCCAAACGAAAGATTCAGTTCATCTACATTATTTAACACGGATAACCTACTGCTCCGAGACATCCTCATTTATTTTCACCACGCTTCTCCAACTTCAGGCCCTGTGAAAACAGATTTCCTAAACCTGACAAACCAAACTAAGACACAAAAGTGGTAAAGCAGAATGACAGAGCAGAAAGGGAAGTAGAGAATAAATATGCAAAGCCATTGTCTAACAGAAAATGTCTTGGCTACGGGTGACCAAAAGTCAGTATTTTCAGAACTCAGAATGCCCACGCCATTACAACAAAACTTCTTCACAGAGCCCTCCAGCATGAATTCTGCACAAAAGTGTGCCCTCAGGTAAGAAAGGCATTTTGTGTCTTATGCCCTACTGAATACATTTATCACTATAGTCCTTTCCACCATAAGCCATTGTTCTGAAAACCACCAAACACAGTCCTTTTTTCTCATGTTATCAAACTGACTTTCAGTTCACCAGCAGGCACCACCTGTAACCTCAGCATGGAATCAGTGCCACACCTGGGGGCATCTGCAATAGCATGAGGATCTGCAAGGGGACCAGAGATTTTTAATCATGGCACGTTTCACACAACTTTCAGAACATAACAATGGAAGAGCTTTGCACAAGCAGCAGAATCAACCTAAGCTCAGGTCAACACTGAGGAGCAGAGAAACACGTGCCTGACACAGGGAGATCATGAAGCTGCCGTGGTCTGACATCTCATCTGCACTTACATTTCACACAAACGCTCAATTTCCTTGCCCCGGTTGTCCTGCTGTATCCCGAGATCTAGTCTTCCTCTCCAGCTTTGGCTTAAAACACAGGTGACATCATCAATTCCTCTTTTTCACACAGCAAGGATCGCAGGGATTAAAAAGCTGATGATCTCTCTCTCTCTCCAAAACAAGCGTGGCATTCACAACATAACTTTTGGACTACACCCTACTTCTGCTCAGTGACAAAGCCTGGCAGGACTTCATGCAGTTTTCAGATTGACACCACATCTTCAACTTCACATTCATTTTTTGAAGATAAACTATTCCAGCTCTAACTCATATAATAAAGATAAATTTGCCCAGTAAAAAGGATTTCCCCGCCAACAGTAAACCAGTAGTAAAGCTTGATACATAAAATTAAATACACTCAGTCAAGTTATCAAATCATTTCTAACCACAAGGACAAGGAAAATCAGCTCAGACAGTACATTACATCAAGTTCTCCAAGTTGAGAGATATTCTTACCTCGGGTTTATCTCTGTGTGTGTTTACAGCTTCCACATTCAGAAATATAGATTCTACTTTACATCCTGTTGATAAAAAAACATTTTTTAAAATACACCTGCTTTAAAAGTGAAGTTATAGTAAAGATGCAATCTAATTTTGAGTTGGTGAAGGTTAATCACTTTCCACCCTTCTGATTTATACCAGAATTTGCCTGAATTATGAAGAGCTAAAGCTACTGAAATTAATCTATTTAATTAATCTAGTGAGGAACACTACTCTCAGTCTGATAATCCATCTCCTCACCTTAGTTCTACCATTATTTTCTTTGAAACAAATTCTTATTTTGTTAAACATACGTGAATGTTCAAGTGAGAAAGTTCTTACTTGTAACTCTTTTGTTTTTAAACATCCGAGATGTCTTAGAATTTCACTGTAATACAGAAGATAAACGCTGCTCTCATTTTTAAACATAAAAATGATCACAAAAAGGTACAGTGTGTTGTTAGCAACCCCCATTCCCCTACACATGCAAAACAGCTTTAATCCCCAGCTAAATGGAACTCCAGCATTGACTCCTGAAAAGGAACTTCTGCTTTACATTCAAAAATTCAAAACTCCAGTGAAGGAAGAAAAATTTAACGGTCAGAAGAAACAACAATTTCCCAGATGGTATAAACTTAGGTTATTACATAATTACTCAATCTACCATGGGACCAGCATTGTAAGAAATATCTGACTGCCAAACACTGTTGTATCTCACATGAGCATAACCTCTGTAAGCTACTCCTACTCTACACAACATTCATTAATAGTTCCTTTGACCTACCACAGAGACCATCTTCTATCACAAATAGGCTGTTGGATTTTTCTCCTCACTTATTTCCTGAAGTCATAACACACTCCACAGAATTAGTACAAGACAAAAAAAAATAATTTCTTAGAAAGACACTGCACTTGAAAAAAAAATAAATTAGTAAGGCAAGTATTTACCTTCCTTTAGGGAAACCTATTCTGAGAAAGCCCATTTGGCAGATACACTGCAAGCACTGCAGGAGGGCCAGCACTCAGAAAAATAGTCAACCATAAAACAGGTTTTAAGGAGGAGAAGCACACATCTCCCACTGGAACAGGACCCTTAGTTTTCCTTCTGTTCACGGATCCACTGTGACCCAAGCAAAACAAGCTCTGGCCCCTGCTGCTGGCCATTACTAATGGCTGGTTACACAGTCTTACAGCCTTACTAAGCCTGGTTACATAAAGACCTCTCAGTTCTTACTGAGTTTAAGATCTGAAAAAAGCATCATATGGAAAGCTTTAAATATAAACTAAAGGGACATGAGTTACTCCACAACGTGCCTACTCCCAGTTCATTTTTAATTACTGATGGCCAAGTTCGTACCTACAGCAAGCTGCAGTTTCTCCTTCCTGTGTGCTCCCACACAGACCACCTCTAAACTGGATTGCTGGGTAAAGGTCTCATTTATCCTAATCCAACTGTCAGGCTCTAACAGATGTTCCCCTACTGCAGATCAGACACTTAAGGCGGGAATGATGCTGCTTCCAGCGCCAGGATGAGCAAACCCCCGGGGGAGGCATTTGCCCAGAACAGGATCAGCTGGAAGGCATTAAACACGCCAGGTCTGATCCTGCATCCTGCCTCGCTGGAGCCGAGTGATGCATCAGCTTGAAATAATACCAGAGATCAGTCCTGCAGAAATGTGTCCTCAGATGGCTGAATTCCAAAAAGCAGGTTGACTGAACTGTGCTAATCAGACATCCATACCAAACTCTTTAAAAATAGGACTGTGGTATTTCTTTCACTGTGGTCAAAAGGGCAAGGACAGTATTTCGTATTGTTTTGTTTCCTTCCTCATTCAGTGTGTGAGCACACACTGTAAACATCCAGGCCCTCTTAAAATTTATGAATGGTCACCCAGCTACCCACAAAAAAACCCCAACCGACCAACCAACCACACACAACAAAAATTCATCAGAAAACCCCCACAAAACCAAAGACAACCCCAAACAAAAACATCTCAGTGGAAACAGGCTAGAGACTAGTGAGTAAAAAAAAAAAGTAGTTTTAACTGCTCTAAATCTCTATTTTCAAAACTCCAGCTTGTCATGCAGGGATGGGAACACCAGATGTCACCACAGCACAGGCAGTTTTTACTGTAGGACAATGCAGCAATTAAATGACAAAAATCTCTTCAGGCAGATTTCCCAGTGTGGCAGTTACTCTGTTTCATAATGTACTTTGTTTCAGCTTTTTTTGAAACTTAACATTTGAACAAAATACAGGTCTAGACTGCTACTTTTCAAAGCTGATAATCAAAAACAGCTTTGCACTTCTGACTCATGACTGGACTAGCATTTTTGGGCAATCCATTTCCTGGTGAGTTGTGCAGATAGTTCTCTGTCTATAGATGATCTTCTGAAGTGTGATGAAATATCAGAAGATACAACTCAGCCATCACTTAAACTAACAGCAGGTACACATTAAGCTGAGGTTGAAACACACAGAACTTCATCAGCAATCAGCCTAAAACCCAAAGCAGGGCATGTTACAACCCACACCCCACGCTGCCCAAGCTGGCAGAGGAGCCCAGTGAAAGCCCCTGAGCCAAGCACTGGTAACAGCTGCTGACAAACCATGCCAACATCAACAAACAAGGTGATGTGTGTGGTACTGTGAAGGTCCATGAAAAAATACACTTCAGGAAAAGAGAACAAAGCTACTAAAGGCTAAGGGAACACCCTTTGTATGATGATAAACCTATATAAATGTAAATTGGCCGGTCTTCTAAAAAGCAATACCCTCCAATACATCAAGGAAAACTGAGATCTTGCTGTACCAGACGAGTAAATGCATGGGTTTGCCAGAAGTAGTGGAATAGCACAAGAACTGAGCACAGAACTGTCCTCTAGCACTTACAGCCACTGGTGATTTTAGGCATTCACTAACACATAGGTATTTCCTGGCATAAGGCAAAGCAAATGTAACCCAAAAGATTCACTGATTCTAACCAAAGCTGTGCAGGCAAACAGGCAATGTCAAACCTAACAGTTCAATTCCACTGTAAAGCAAAATAAACTTAGGTTTGATTTAAATGCTTCACAACCTTTCCTGACGACAAAGACAGTACAGTTAAGACTCACATATTACATATACTTAATTCCACTTACCATAAGCCACTGGCGTTAGCTTTAAGACAGTATGCAGTGGGCACTTCAGGTAAGGCAGTTGTTCTGAGAAATCGAACCATAAATTACATATGAAATACAGGTTACAAGCAACTTCTTTATTATGTTACAGGTCAACCACTTAAATGAGTTTTCATCTGACAGTATATCTGTTTTCTTCCCTAGCATGCAAACAGAGATGCTAATCAAACAGAGCAAAAAAACAGTTTCAGGTGAGGAGCAGCTCAATAACATCACCTACCAAGATTCAAGTGTGGGTCAAATATAAAAAAATTACACTTGGGTACTTGCCTAACACAACCACCCCCTGATGATACAGGAAACGGTTAGAATTTAGTGTTTGGAACCTTAATCAGTTAATTTTCAAAAAAACAGACCATTTCTAATATATCAAGGAAGACTTACCTGCGGGCTTGTCAAGAAAATACGCGAGCAAGCAGCGCATGACAGCTTGGTGACATATGACAAGCACATTTTCCTGCCTTTCAAGTTCCATAATTACAGGCTCCAGTCTCTGAACAAGATCTTCATAGGACTGGGTGGGGAGGAGAAATACACAGCACATTAAAAAGGGAAAACTCTTTGAACAGTGTATGTATATACAGGGGATCTTACTTTCATATTCTATAGTGCACAGACAATACTGTAATAATAATTTTCCTTAAACTGAGCACACAGTTCGGGTCTTCCAGACTATCAAAGAGCAGACACATAAAATAAATCTCCCTCATGGAAAACCTTTATTAAATTAGCCACTTTGATCAAGAATTTCCACAAAATCCCTAGAATTTAATTCACATCACCTGCAAATATACAGGTTAAGTCTTGCACATTATTTCCTATACCTCATCTTCAAAAGCATCCCTCTTCCAAGCAAAAATCTGGGAAGCCCAGCCTACAGTAAGCACACAAAGACTTTACAAAGCTCAACTTGTTCAGGCTGCCCTTTGAAAACAAACCATGGGCTTGTTGAAGCGGCCTGGTGACAGCAGCCACCATCCCACCAGAAATCCCAGAGCGAGGAGAATGGATGTTCTTTCGAGTGCACAGGGAATCTGCTGCAGGAACGTTGCTGCTGGTGAACGGCAGGGTTTCTGCTTGTGCATGATTAAGTCAATTTTCATGTCCACAGTAAAGACAATACTTCTGAAACACATCATGCAATGCAGGTGTGGAGAACTCAGCACATCCCTCAGCAGGGCAGGGACTGACCACAGCAAAAGCCTTTGCCCTGGTCCCAAGGCAGGATGGAAAGTGGTCCTTCTGACTGAGCCCAGGGCAAGAGAAAGCCCCTGCTCTCCAGCCAGCTGTGCAAACCCCCTGGGACTGTTACCAGGGACACAAAACTGCCTTTGACAAACACACAAATCTACCTTTGACAAACGGCTGAGCTCAACTAATCACCCCAAGGCGCTGAGGGAGTTTGAAATGTTTGTCACCATCCCGGAGGACGGCACCGGTTTGAAAAACAAACAGTCCTTGTTCAAATGGATTAGGAGAACTCTGCAGCTTAATGACTGCCTCATTAGTAGGACCGGGGGTCACACTCCCAGGAACGCTGCTCTTATCACAGTGATTGCTCCTGACTGCTGAGGAAGATGATGACAGAGCTCTGGTTCCCCACGACACAAACAGGGAGCAGCTGGTCCAATTACTCCTCCACCCTGCTGCCCAGAATCCTGAGCCTTCAGCACCCACTGACAGGCCCTGTGACCATCTGGTAATTGCTGCACAGTAATGGGGTTGCTTTAGAAAAGCTGTCACCAAGTGATTTTCCCAGAGGGAAGGAGTGTAATAAAGTGAAAGACCAATGTAGCTTGAGATTCCCCCAGCATTTCATCCAGAGCTGCCTGCAAAACAGCCATCACCAAGAGCAAGGATGAATAGAAACAGCCCAACTTGGCAGTATTCTTGCATATGCAACAGTTGAAGCCTTGTAATTCTTCCTGCTTTATCACTGCAGGACCAGCACAGAGCCCATGCCCACAAGATCAAAGCTCTCCACTGTTTTTCTAAATTTATTGTTCTATTTTTCAAGCCCTGACTCAAATTAAATGGTCTGGGCTCAAATGTTGCAAGCTCTGATGTACTTTGGAGAAAGCACAACAAATAACCTTTTCATTGATTTTTAAAATTTATTTTTCCTAAGGCCAGCATGCATGTATTCAATCAGACAAGGAAGCCTTCACCTTAAAAAATTAAAAATAGCATACCTCCCCTTTAGGATATCTGTATCTGTATTTGTCTTGGTCTCTCAGTGCAAATTCAAGCGGGTAATTTTCCTGTATTTCCTCATATGTCATTTCTTCACACACTCCCTGTAGGTTATGAAAACAATTAAACCCCATGTATTTCCAGCAATGCCAAAAACAGATATCACTGTTAAATAAAACCATATCTAAATAACCTTTAACGATTTTATTTTGTTACTCTGACACTTAAAATTGTCATACATGATAAACAGGACACTCAGCTGGACTCAGATGTGGTTAGAAGGAATCATTAAATGCCTGTATAGGTTAAGTTACATATATGGACAGACGAGGTCACATTTCATCTATTAAGCCTGCTTATATATCTTAGAGGTGCAGTTGGAAGTGCCAACTAGCAAGCCACAACTACCCTAAAATTCTTTCCAACCCCCACTTACCCAAAATTTCATAATATTATGGCTTCAACAGGGAAATGTTTTACTGGGAAAGACACAGCAAGAATAAATCAACTAAGGCAAAATTTAATAAAACGTTTAGCCTAGTTAACAGGAATTAATGACAATTTTTCCAGCCTCTAGAAGCAGCTTCAATGACTTTCCATCCCATAAAAGGCATATTATTAAAATACTAAGTACTTCCTTCATCCCTAGCAATCAAAGCAACTTATTAGACACTTAAAAGAGAAGAACTTACAGCATCTATCTCATTCAAAACCTTCCACTGCTCATAAGGCACTCCCAAGGCTTCAGCAGTCTGAATCGTCCTTTTCATCTGGCTGGTCCAAACCTTCAGATCTTTGATATTTTGCTCATTAATAAACTGTGCCAAGCTTTTGGCAAACTGAAAGAAAAACCATGAGACACTGGATGAGGGCTCAGAGCCAACACACTGTGTCCAGTTTGGAATACATGGGCTCTAGCCTCTGTAAACTCATTATAACTCCTCCAAAATACTGTCAAAGTTTTCACTAAGAAATACAACACACTCCGTTATCCGAGTGCGAGAGGAGAGGAAAGAAAAGTAGTACAAGGAAAATCCAAGTCTTCTGCGGTTCCCGACTTCATTTCCAGGAATTTTCCTTTCAGCTTTAACTTGTGTATTTTCCCGATTATCCAACTAGTCAGGATTTTACAAAGATACAGTTAAAAAATAAAGCCCTCTTGCCAGCTGCTCTGTGCTGCAGGATAAAGAGGAATTTCAGCCAGCAGAAAGACAAACAGATAAAAGAGTACAGACCAAATCACAACACACCAAGTGCCCACCCTGTTTCCACTACCCAAACACGCAACTAAAAAAAGTCCTTCTTAGCCATGTTAAGAGGAAAGGCTGTGGAGGAAGAAAGCTGTAACAGCACAGCACAGACCCACACAAAACCCCGTCACGCTTGTCCAGCAGGTACGTACTTCTTTCCCCCTGACAGACAGCCCAGGATCTCCTCCTATTCTCCCTTTCAGATTGAGTTCGCTTTCTCCATGTCGACAGAGGTAGATTGACCGAGGAGTCACATGGATATTCATGAGGTAGTAGACAATCCGGCTCTGGATGTGATCCATCACTCTGTTCACAAGATAACTCCTTCCGACATCCATAATTTTAATGTAAGAAAGATCCCTTTCAGGAGCAAATAAAAGGGAAAAAAAAAAAAAGTAGTAAGATTCCTCATAGTTTCTATTAGCACGTACCACAGTCTTTCCACCCTCTCTTCTCATTACAAAACAAAGGGGCAACAAGCCAAAGAAATGAAAAAATCCTCAAACAGCCATGGAATATGCATTAGTCCTAAGAAACAATGCAGTACTCCAAAGGCACAGGATGAACTCTATTCCTTTAACATGTTTCTTTTCTGTTCCCTCTACTTGCACTTTGTCCAAATCTAGATCCTACTCTTGGCGAAATACAGCCCTCCCACTGAAAGAAAGATTCAGTGGAGTCACTGAATATACCACAGTTGAATAAGATATCCAGCTATTTTACAATACCTGATGGTTTTTTTCCAGGTTATAAACACTTTCCTTCAGTGTCTGATTGCACCTGGGGCCAAATGGCACAGTCACTCTTTCCCCATCTCAGTTAATCCCTCCAGAAAAACCAGGGCATCAGAAGGACCAGGGACGAGTCTGAGGCAAGACATTTTCTCAATCGCTCTTTCAACTACTTATTAATAGTACTGTAATTTATCCCACCACTACCTTCTCTCAGCGTCAGACAGCTAATAATTTCAACTTTCACTGCTTATTCTTTCTCATCTGAGCTATAATTTTAGAGTTGCCTCTAGTTTACAGAAGGAAAAGAGTCTAATAAGCTGAAAATAACCGCTATTGGTTTCTAGTGATGCATCTGAGACATCACACCACGATGAAACATGAAAACTTATACTAAAACCAAATGGAGGTGATGAGAAACAAGCATCACCTCATCCCTGCTAGCGTTCTTTAGAGTTAATCATTACTATTCCAGCCAGGCACAACCATTAGGTCCATCACAGAAATTACACGCATGAACTGAGCCGATTGAGGCGGCTTCACGCTGCTTACACCCAATTACATTAAAATGCAGCTCAGCCCTCCCAGCAGCTCTGGTCCTGAAACAACCTGGGATCACCCGGTATGACTGCAGCCCCAAATCCCACTCTGAAATCCCAGAGTGTAGCAAGAGAAACAGGGCTCCTCCTCGTATGGTTCATCCCTACCTTACTTTCAAGAGTTCAAAGTTAATGAGAAAACAGAAGAATGCTTTGGCATGAGGATAAATAACCTAGCTAAGACAGTTTCTCACAGCCCTGCATCTGCAGGGTAATTTGCAAGCACAAATAAATAAATAAATTTAGAAGTCACATTTTTAAGAGTGATGTGTTCATAATTAATCTTAACTACGCCAACCAATTAAGTTATGCTTATAAATCACTCAAGTCTCCTCTACATACTAAAAAAACAAGTACAAGTAAAACTGTAGCAAGTCTGGAATAATTCTTAAATGGTGGTTCTATCCCAGAAGAATCATACCATTCTTCAAGTGGGAAAATCAAAAAGAATATTGTCCCAGAGTAGACTTGTTAGCCAATTTTCCTCAAACAAGGAAGTTTCCAGGCTACACTCCTTGAGCCAACTCTCTCTAATTTGCCAAAGGAAAGAGCTTAAGCCATTAAAAAACATGACTTGAAAGCCCTAATCCCCACTACAGGATGCTCTAACCCTTAAGAAAATGTTTTAATAATACTGGATCACCAGTGGTGATCACAGTATTGTTTAATTACTTACTTGTCCAGAGTTTCATCTAATGTCTCATATGTGTTCTTGTAGCACTCTATTCTTTTCATGAAGTCTTCTGTTGCTTCATCATTACTACAATCAACATAGTCAGGACTACCCAGCTTCACTTGCTGTTGAAAATAAAACCAGGAGAGCAGTACATGAGTTTCTTTCCCTTTTTCATGGAAGTTTAAAGAAAAAGGAAGGGGGAAAACACAACAAGCAGCTTTGTCTTCAAGTTAATTAAAGTACATGTAAAGCAAAAATAACTATTCTTCAGAGAAATTAGACTTCTGAGCTAGTTACATTCACATGGACAGGAAAATAAATGAAAACTGTTCCATTAATGGGAACTAATGTGGCGGTTTTTTGCTATTGGAAGTTCTTACTGTGTACTTCTAAAAATACTGAGGTTAAAGCAAACTTTCCTCCATCACAATACTCACCACAATGTTTGCAGCAATGACCTCTGGATCGACACATACTGATTCCACAAAAAAAGTCTTCAGTCCAAATGGAAGTCACAAGAACAGAAGGAAGGAATAACACATTAAAATACCTCTGGAGACTCACACACACAAGCAGCATATTGCCCAATTCCATGCTAAGGCCTTTTTAGCAGTGTCCTATGTTAAACTTCCCTCCATTTACTCAGGAAGTTTCTGCAGACCCTCTCATAAGAAATTCCTGGCTGACCATTCCAGGAAGCATCATTCTTTATACTCTTTTCCCCAACAATGCTTCCAAGTGGAAAAACTTTTCAGTGAGGAAAAAAAGTAGCATGGAAGGAGAAGAAATAAATGCAGAGGATGCATGTTCAGCCAAACAAACAGTAACTAATGCTTCTAAAATATTACTTTAGGAGCCCCTCAGCTGATGGAGTAGCCTCCTTAAAGAGAGGTTTGTGTTTTACTGTGTCAAAGGTTTATGGAGTTGTAAGCTTAGAGGAAACGGATTTTTACTGGAGAAGAGCTAAATGCAAAACAATCCTGGACACAAGGAAGAAACCTACAGGAAGTTTTTGGTTTGCACAGAACTAACACAGAATTCCTTCCCTGTTTCTGCAGCAAAAACCTGAAGTGTACAAAGAACTGTATTTTAAATAGTTCTTGCTGACAGTGCACTCAGAACTACAGGTCCAGGATGACAGAATTGAAGCCATAGCACAAAATAGCTTAGCTTATGAAAGATGAGAAAAATGAGGATGGGATGGCTTTTAATTCAGAAAAAATTTTGGGAACACAAAATGCATTATTGACTAAACATCTAAGAAGGATGTGCCTCGTGCTAGTGCAGTTCTTAAACTCAGAGTACAGATAAGGGCAAAACTATCCCTGCCTTACTTGTCCAGGCATTAGCTCAGAACTGCTTTGCTTCTGACTCACCTTATACCCATTTTCTTCACCAAATTTATAAATAGTTTCTCTACGTTCTCGAGTTGTGTTTGTAGCATCAAAGACCTAGGAATAATTACAGGGAGAGAGAGAAAGGAATTTGAAAACCATCATAGCCTGTTAGTGATAACAAAAATAAGGGTTCAAAGTCCCTCAATGTGAAGGAAAGCAATGGAAACACTTCCTCTTTCCTTTACCCCACCACATCAACATGCTCAACAGGAAAGTAAAGGCATTCCTACTTTACACACACTATTTTCTAAATACTAAAAAGAGTAATATTTTGATAGCACTACTAGCAGAACACTGGACTTGAAAGCAGCAACCAGAATTTAAACCTAACATGTAATATAGGACAGAATCTTCCTCCTGGTCTATTATCACCATTAAATACCACTGCATAGGTTTTAACTTCTACTACACAGAAGAAGATGCTGCAATCAATCTGCTATTCAAAATGCAAATGAAAATCTTTAAAGGGCAGAAGATCTGCAAGAGTTGTAAATTCTGCCCATGGATTACAGGATTAATGCAGCCTTTTTTCTAAGGACTTACATTTGGCTCTGAACATATCAGTGCTTCATCTAAGTGAGAAGCCTGCCAAAGTATAACGTTTCCCTTGTGTCTCCAGCAGAACTTACAGTTAATGGTTTTCCCTGATTAGTTAATGAAAACACCAGAGCTGTGTCAGTAGTCTGAAGAAAAACATTATGCAAATTAATCTGAATGAATATGCAACGACAATAGTTGAACAGCTGATGTTTTGCATTCCATTATTAAATACTCAGGTATGCATCAATTTATTATGACGTTCCTCCTGCTCTCTTCAGAGATTTCTCACGCCAGTAACACAACTGCCAAGCAATACAGAGGATTCTTTTTTTGTTCAGCAAGTCCTTACCTTCCACTTGGAACACTGGACTATCAAATAGAAACAGAGGTGCAAGCAAAACATCAGGTGTGTTTAACAGCACATTATACAACATGGAGAGAAGGTGGACATCTTTCTTGCTGTTACCCTCTTCCCAGTTAACCCCTCAAATCAAAGGTAGCTGCTCAACATGGCATCATCACCTTGAAATTAAGCGCTTCTTTCAGCAACAGGGCAGATCTAACACACAAGTGCCAAAGGAAAAAACCTGGTAAACTGAAGGGCTATTGGAATTACTCAGTCTGTGTATCATCCAGCAGGCACACACTGTTAAGAACAGAAGCATCTCAAGAATGTGTCTTCAACAAGAGACTTACAGCCACGTGCCCGTTTTCTTCACTGAGGTACTGCCGGACGTCATTCAGCGCTGCTAAGGCACACTGTCTGAAAAATGAGAGAGTAAAAGTCAAAGAACAGATCACTATATTAATGCTTTTGTGCCCTGCAAATGTTAGATAACTTATCTCAAAAGCACAGTCCCCTTCAAAGCATGGGAAAAACCAACAGAAGACAACTAAGCCATACCAAGGAAACATGGTCACATCATCTTGCTCTTCTGTGTAACTGAGACCACTTCACATCACCACAGAACACCCACCCGCTTTGCTGACCAGGATAAACTTTCACTGATCTAAAGTAACATTGCTGAATCACCCCTGCAACTGTATTCTTTTCCCAATTAAGCTATTCAGATATTTGCTTCTTAATTTGGTTCTCAAAGGGGCGTTGGGGGGAAATAAATAAAATAAGCCAACTGAAGGCTTTTATCTTGTGGCCCTAAGTTAATGTGAAGAGACAACAATTTTTTTACCAATCCGCTTTTTCTCTTTTGAGCTATTGTGTGAAAACTGTTTATGTAAAAAACATGTTGTTGAAACAGAGGGTAAAACAAAGTCAGCATCAAGTATTAGGGTGAAAATAACACCCCATTGCAGTCACCAAGCCAGTGTAATAAGTGCTGGAGGCAGCTGAGGACACAAACACCAGAAAAACCCATCCCTACATACTTTACACTTGTGTTAAATCTGAGCAAGAACACATTCATTTGCAACTTTCCTATGTCCCCAGAATCAGTATTATCTTCAAAGTCCATTATGAATCCTAACACATCAGTAATGCTGGAGGGCAACATTACCACTGTACATGATTTACTTGTTAGTAGAACAAAGCCCCATTTATTTCCAGTAAGTGCAGTCTCTTTGCAGTACCAACATAAAAGCCTGCCCATTTCAACAGCCCTTCTCTGCATTACTCCTCGATTTTGACTTCCAGACTGAGACTCATAACTCTTGTATTTACCACATTCTGCATGCACAGCTTTATCTTAAAAGAGAAATGAAGGCTTTCCAGTCCTGACAGTATTTCCACATTAGCACATTTAATAGATGTCAGGAGCTGAGATTCAACAGTCAAGTCTTCACTGAATAAATATAAACCCTTTTTACTCATTGCTAAGCAGGCAGATTAGCTCACACAGCCCTTTTCATGTTGTATCCCTCACCATTTAGTTAAAGAGGTAACACAGAGGCCACGTTAAAAGGTTTGGTTCTACCTGTAAGCAAAAGGTAGTGGTTTGCAAGGCTAATGCACCTCTCAAAGCTACTCCTTAGTCCCAAAGGATTAGGATGTTCTTATGCAACTTGTTCTTTTGGCATTAGCAGCACTCAGTGCTGCTGAGAGGGAAATGGAAGGGGAGGAACAGCCACAAAACAGCCACAAAAGAAAGTCCAGACATTTTTGGTGCTTGAGCTGAAGCTGAACTAAGAACAAAACAGTCCATATTTTAAGTAGCCTAAATAAAAAAAATATTTCCATTCCTCTCAAATTTCTGCTCCTTCTCATTTCGTGCTGCACACTCTTAAATGCTTTCCTGAACACACTAAAAAGTACGGTGAATGTTGAATTAAAATCAAGAGACCTTTCTCTTCATCTAACCTTTCTTCTCAAGGTCTGTCTCTACACTAAAGCACAGCCTCTTTCCAGATGAGGAGAGACTCAGATGCTTCACGTGGACAGAGATGTTCACACTGGTTCTGACCTTGCTTTGCAGAGCATTAGCAAAACATGGCAATTTTAGAAGCAGTGCAATGACTGACTGCATGAAGCACCTGCATGGTGGACAAAAAGACAATTTCAGGGAGAAAATTACAGGGCTTGATTCCTGCTCATTTGAACAGGTAATGACAAATCTGTTCAAAGTGCTCCAGGTGAGTAATTCCAGCATGCAAACCAAAAAGAAAAGCAGTTATGTGGGGTTTTTTTCTCTTTTTTTATGATCCAGAAAAACAAAGGTCTAAAATGGCTTTTTTGGAATTAGGCTGCAGAAAGAGTCACATCCATTAACTGATACCTTAAAAAAAAAGGTAGGAAAAGAAGTAACTATCTGCTAAAATTGCTTTGAGTGAAAATATCCTAGAATATCTACAGGAATAACAGTAGTCATAGCCTACTGAAAGGCGAAAAGGAATCAAGAAACAATCAACCTTCTCTCCATTTTTGATGCTTGAGATTAAACAATCAACACAAAAAATTCCCCAAATTTTAATCACCCTCAATAAATCACTTCTCCAGCTTCTCTGGAATTTCTTCTCCTTGTCATTTCATGCTGCAGTCTCCCTAAGGGTCTTCTTGAGCATACAAAAATGCAACTTAAATCCACCTCTAAGAGCAAATTACACAGGACACTGTTCTAGTACAATTAGCGTTGAGTACCAAACACAATCAAGACTTACTTCCTGATTTTCAAGCCTTCTTCATTGTCAGGTAGGAAGAATTCAAAGGATTTGTACTTTTTCACCAAATCTCGACGATACTGACCCACATTAAATTCTGCCAAGAGGAAACCAGTGTTAGTGGGAGCTACCAACAGCCGTGGGAAAAGGACAGAAATTAAGACAACTCTGAAACCAAACCACCTGCAAGGATAAAAATAACTTAGCAAGTATGAAGTTACCATATCATACCAATTCTTGTGTTTTGAGGGGTTTTGAATACAAAGACAACGATAAATCATGGAAATGGCTAAAGAACATTTGGGCTGTAGGTAGTTTCAGTGGAGTGACTCGGCCATACTGAAATGCCTCTGCCAGTTTGCCTGGACAACAAAAAGAAACTCTTTTCCTCCTTTACAGGGGTTACTCAAAGTCTATGAAGGACTACTAATGATTACTAGCATTAATAATTATTAATAATTATGATGACTAGCTTTTTCCTCTGTGTATATACACAGTTAAACAGTATTCTTGCAACACCTCCCAAAACTTAGAGCCCTTCTTTAAGCAAGGAAGAGTTCTAAGTAGAACTAACCAATCTTGCTTTTGATAAACAAAACTTAGAATTCAAGTAGTGGAAACATGTGGAACCCCACTCAAATACTTCTATTCCTTAAGGATTAGCACATCCTATTTCACAACCCCTGTTCCATTTATTAAAAAAAAAAAAAAAAAACCCTTACATTGTAAAAACAAAAAAACACACATTAAAAAAAATATCTGCATTGAGTATGGAACATAATCTTACTGTGATCTGTTAACAGTGGTCAAAGAAAACTATTCCTTGGGGAAAGGTCCATAAGGTTCATGGCCATACACGTGTCACAATACTGGGTATGGGATTAGGGCACGACAGTTCTGCTTTGCCACAGAGCAGACAACAACACTGAACCCTAATTAATTCATTCAAAGGCTCTGAAAGTAGGTCTCTGAAATGCAATTAATGTTTAGGTTGTTTCTGACCTATAGCTTTTTTTTGTTGAACTACAAAGCTTTTTTTTTTTTTTAAACAGTAGATCACACTGAAGTATTCTGTTTGAGAAGCTGCCAAGGTACAGCTATTTGGCAGACTTCACTGCTGGAAAGAGGAAAAGAAGCAACAGACACTACTGCAGAGTTGTAATTAAAAAAGACATAGAACAAAACAGTTTAAGAACCAGCTGCTGTATACAGATTGCTGCTGGGACTAGGGGTAGAGGAAAAAGATACAAATATTGCTTATTTCCCCAAAAGTCAAGTTTTGTTTGAATTCAGAAATGCTGACAGAATTTTTCATGGTCAACTGCATGACATGGATTATAGAACAATCCAGGTTGTTCTGTAATGGTTTTAACAAGTAATGGCCACACAAAAAGGTGGGTCCTGGTAAGAAAAACAGAAGATGCAAGAAGATAAGATGGTCAGTGTCATCAGACAATAGACCTTTAAAATCAAAAGTAATGAATTTTATAAAGAGGAATAGTTACTGCAAAAGTGTCCTGCAAAGCAAGGAAAAGTGCTATCTAGAGGGCCGATCTTTAGCCCTTATTATTAGCATCCATCCCTATGGAAAAAGTTTCCCAAAGTTAACGGGTATCACAACTACCACAGAGCCACAACTATTCAAAAAAGCTTCCAAGGTTTAGTATCTAAAAACCACATTGCAACACAGTTCTGTTCAGGCATCTAATTGACCTCATTTCCTTCAAAAAGCCCAGACAAAAGTCCTCTGTATTTTTAACCATTTCACATCCTAAACAACAGAGGATTTTGGAAGGAAGAAAACACAGAAGTGATGGCTGAAATGATTCAACTAACACCAACCCTGGGCTATTTACCTCCACCTTCTGCTCTTGAGCTCTCCAGTTGGCTTAATGTTACATGGAAAGATGGCATTTATCTTTTCCTCTGGTTTACATAACCTCCTAATTTGTACCATCTGTCTCAGAGAACAAGAACACTCCCTAAATTAAGCACACAATAATTTTAAGACATTAAGAGCCATAGGGTAACAGATGTCAGGGCTACTAGATACTGATCCTGTATTGATTCAGTCCCATCAGCTGGAAGCACCAGGCAGCGTGTCATCTATTCCCTCAGTCAGGCACTGAGGGCTTTTACACTGATTTCAACTTCAGTACAATTGCATCATTGATGACACAAACAGGAAGGCTCTGTGGTTTTCCAAGAAAATCCCAAGTCATCCTTTCTAACAAAGACAAACAGTAATCAGCAGCCTCAGATGGAAGCTCATATGGCAACTTTATGTGGTATATTTTTTTTAAAATTAGGCAGCAGTGCTCTAGTTTTCATTAAGTACAAGTGCACGTGTTTTCTGATGTGCTGCTCACAGTAGCCCATGGACCTTTTCCTGTAACTGAGACCAACCACATCTACTCATTTTACTGTAACTGGGATATATTCAACCAAGCATGAACCAGATGTGGACAATATCTTGTTTGCTGTCCAGTACTGGACTTCTGCTTTTCAAAGTTCACACAGCAAAGTGCTCTCTACACAATGACATATAAACACATCTACATAAATTTAGGTTAAACGTGTACCTAACATACAAGCATAGTTATATCACATGCATTTTATCAGCTTGGATATAGGCTAAACTAGTTAGACTGTTACTCCATTTCAGCCTAACAGATAAACCCAAACTCTCCAAGTATCTAATACTGCTCCTCAGAAGGGTTAAACTGTGTGAAAACAGTCAAACTCAAGTGATCATTTAAATCCTGTAAACATTCTGTAAATTCTCACACTTAAACAATATAATATATCCTCCATAATGTCTCTTCTAAATAAAGCACATCAAAATAAATAAATAAAGCACGTTTCTAAAAGCTTAAGAAAATGCCAATTGAAAAAGCTATACCCTAGAATCAAAAGGCAGTTTAAATACAGGTCAGAACTCTTCATCTTGACTTCTTAGAGCTACTAGGAAATACATCTCTGAATATCCAGCCAAAACTTCAGTATGATCTCATATGTTTAATGTTATTTAAATGATTAACCAGGCATAACTATAAAGCTACCATTACTGCGCTGGCCACAAGATGACAGAACACTAAACTGTCTTTCTCTTCCACAGAGATAGAGCAGAAGGCAGGGGATTTGGCTGCTCAGAACCTCAAATGGACTTAGGTCTGGTTTACTTGCCAGTCTGGGCTCACAGGAGCCCAGGAATGGAGCAGGACAGCCAGGTCCTTGGCACAGCCAACCTGAGCCGTCATTTCCTGCTCAAAACACTGCTGTAAATCCTTAAGAGAGAGATAACAAGTGGCAAGTGGCTGCCCCAGTTCCTTGGGCTCTTAATATTTACACAAAAACCTGTAAGTCATTCCACAAATGCAGTTAAACAAAGAAGCAGAGCAGAGAATTACACGTGGCACAAAGTTCACAGAGGAAAAAAGACAGAGAAGATGGAAGTTTAACCCAGAAGTGCTGACTGCTCAGCTGCTTGTTAACAAGATTCCTTTTCACTCACATAAAGAATGGGGAAGGAATAGCAGGAAAAAATAAATAACCCAAAATAAAGGGCAGTGGTAAGGAATAAGGGAAAGAAGAGTTGATTTAGGCACCTGGCAGAACAAGGAGGTAAAAAAACAGTGGACAGAAACTGGTTAACACTTAAACGGAACAGAGAGCCTGCGCATGTTATTACTTAAAAATACAAAAAGTAGTCAGTGTTAGCAACAAAATTACGGGAAATCGGGTTTATAAAACACTTAATGCCTGCCCTGTCCTTCTGATGTGAACAAAAGTAAACCCATCACCTTTTGTAGGCACTCCAATCCAATTTAAATAGCGTGTCAGCTTCTTCGAGATGTAGGTTTTTCCTCTTGCCGGGAGACCCACCATGACAATCAGAGTAGGGCAATTGGTCATACATACTGAAACAGAAACACAGAAAACTAGGATTTACCACTCATATCCCCACAAAGCAAAGGTTCAAATATCACTGCAACAGCTACTCCCCGTGTGCTCTCTGAGGATGTGACCAGCCAAGCAGCTCATGCACTGTGTGCCTCGCTGTCCCAGGGGATTCTACAGGAGTACAGTGGACCTAACCAGGTTTCTTATGCCGTGCTGAATTTTGGAAGGGCGAGTCAGTGGTAGGGTAGTGCTGGACACATGGGTTGTATACAGGCAGGAGACAAGAAATCTATGTATCTGCATACAAAAACCAAGGACACTGACATCTTATGTACCCCTGTGCATCTCAGTTCACTGCCTGCATTGAAAGGAAACAGCAAGGTGTAGGCAATTTTTAGTTAATTTTTGTATCTCTAAGAGAAGACCTCAACACTGCTCAACTTTTTCTTGCTTTTGAGCAAAACAAGCATGACAGATGCACCTTAATACATTATAGTAAAACAGGGTATTAACTCTTTATTATTTCTCTTTTAAATATTATTACAAATAAAAATCTCTCAAGCAAAGCTCATTTTGGTTGTTACTGGGAATAAAGCACAAATATTCTACACAATCAAATACAATAATCTGATATAGATATATGTATAGAAACACTCAAAATCAGTGTTGAATTTAAAAAACCCAACAGCGTAGGAAGTTGAAAGAATTATATGTATAAAATTAAAACCTTGAGGCGTTTCCTTTCAAATGACAGGTTTTTGAACATTTTGATGGCACAAAATTAAGGATACCTTGCATGAATCTACCACAGCTACAAGGAACTGCCTAAAAAGAAAGTAGATATTAAAGTGATGCAAAGATACCACCAGCTCCCTCCACCCTCTATTTCCAAGGGAATTAATTTCTACACAGTCCACATGTGTATCAATTTCCTCAATGACATCCATTCACTCCAAAAGATTAAATCTCAGTGTTTATCTCTAAGGCATAACTAAACTGTTGTACAAAGCACTGTGACTGCCCAAGGTTCTCAAATCTTGGATTGACAAAGTCCCATCTCACAAAGTCACTTGCACAAATAATAAACTGGGAAAAGCCAACAGATTAGCAGAGGCAGATGTGCTTTCTTAAAATACTCATTGAAAAGAAAAAACAAACAAACAAACAACAAAATACCACAAAACCAAAACCATTAAATACAGCACTTTTCATGAGAGAGGAGACAAAGTGGTACCCAACCTCAAAGCCATGGAATAGTCAATTACTGGATTGAAAGTTACAGGGACCTAAATGTAAAGCAAAACAGATCCATCCAAACATGTCCAAGTGTCCAGAAAGACACTAATAAAAGCCCTCAGAATCAGTTCCTCTGTGCAGAAGCCTGAAAACAAGACAGATAATATTTTCTTGTCCCTTTTCCTTTTTGTCATAAGTTCAGGCTGTGAACCCGCTCTCCAAGAGGGGAAAGGAAGTCTCTGGGAAAAAAAGCCTATGAAGTGCCAATGGTACAGCGCTTACTAAGCTTAACAGCTTTGCTTCCAGTTTTAAGGACAGTAAAATATTGAGATAAAATATGAGAGAAAACCCTGAGCCCCTAGAAATGTTAAGGGAAGACATTGCTCTTCAAAGCCAGTCTGAAGGGTTCTTCACCTAGCTCAAGTTCTGAACAATTTTTCAACATAAGCAGTGAATTAAGAGCTGCAAAAGACATGAGGATCTGTACAGGAAGGCTCTGTACACAGCCTCAGGTCCTCCTGTTCTGCAAAGGGCTGTGCTAAAACAGACTATTCTACACATTCTAGACAGAATTTACCAACTAACACTATACCAAGAACACCTCTTTTTTTTTTTTTTTTTCCTTCTTCTGCTGGGATCAGCCACACAAATTTAACCCTCTCACAGAACATCTGGCTTCTGGTAACGTAACAATAAACCTGTGCTGGGGCAAAACTAAGGGCTGGGAAGCCACCATGAAGAGATCTGCAACACACTTAAATAGTCACTTCACAGATTACACCAGCAACTACTTTCCAAATTAAGTGCTACTGCCTACAGGGGTTTGTAACAGATCTTCTCACCGAGCAGCAAACCAGATCAACAGAACATGCACAAGAGATGTCTCCTCCCATTGCCAAGCAGTCAGTGTGCCAGCCTGGCATTTTTACACAAATTTTTACAAAAAATTTCCTCAAAGAGAGTACAAAAGTAGCAAACCTGCCTTCACTGGAGGCCTCTGTGTCCAGTTTAGCATGCACACCTCACCAGTTATTCCGATCGCTCTGTGCACCACTAGATAGTGCTGGCCATAAAGCAGAAACCAAGGGAATTATCCCAATCAAACAAGTGGCAAATCTGCTCTGTCAGGTGCCAGGCTAACTGGGGAGTGCTTTTCCTCTACAGATACCAGCAAGACAGATGCTCTGCACACCAAAAGGAGGAATATCACTGATCCCTACGATCCCAAATACTCTGCTTTTACATAATGCCAAAGCCCTGTAAACAACACTACACAGCACATGGTGCTACAGCACATATCACCCATCAGTGCTTGTCTTCAACAAGAAGATGAATGTTCACAATCTAAAACTCAGGGCACTAAAAAATGTTTGATGTGCTGGTTTAGATGGCCACCATGCACTCCAGTATCACCTACACAGGTGGCACTTGGTGACAAACACACCCATGCACTTGGAAGCCAAAGGTACCTGTGCTGGCCAATACAGATGTTAACAGTGAAATGACAGGATTAAAACCAAAAGCAAAAAAAGCAGGGATCTTGTTTTTTCTATACCTCAGTGTAGCATCCTCAACAACACACATCACACTCCACACAGCAAACACACGTTTATTTTCTTCCTTACGATCCTGTTTGTTCATCAGCTCAATAAAAAAGTCAAGACCAGAACAAAATGTAACGTTGTGAGGATGCACCAAACACTCAAAATTATTAAAAAAATTAATTATCTTTCATTTTATCTGACTAAGCCACAGCTTTCTCCACAAAGTGTTGCCAACACTCACTGCAGGTGGGAAGGAATATTCATTCTAGTGACGGTATTTTAAATGTCAACGTCTCGTGAATTACATTTTCCCCTGAAGAAATGTAAGCAAGTTTACAATGAGGAAGTAGACTGACAAAAGCACCCAAGCATACCCACAAGGTACATACATCTAACATATATGCTACATATACTGGATTCCCAATGGCACAATTCTCAATTCCCTCTTCACACCCCTTCACCACCATTCACTTTATATGAAACACAATTTACAGACCCAAAGTAGTTCTAGAGGTGAAAGCTGCAGAGCCAAGGCACTCCTAAGGTCTCCTTTCTCTCTATTCCTTATTGCTGGATTGTCTGGTTTACCACCAGAAATATCTGTATACAATCTAGTCTCCAGAAAACAAACTCATTTTTTAATACTGCTTCACAAATACAGCTCCTAAGGCTTTCCAACAGCCCCAGCCTGTGGATGTGCCATCAACTCTAATTTTGCTAGAGGAACACACACTCAGAACAGCAAACCAAAATCTTAGCAGTTGCATGCCATCAGTTGCTAAAGATGCTCTAAGACTTGAGTCAGTTTTCTCTTTAAAACAGAGGTTTGTAATATACACATGTAAGACTGCATGTTTACAAACAGCATCACCAAAAATAAACACACGCTGTTTTCCCTCACCTAGAGGGAACACACAAAAAACACACCCAAAATACCAATCAGTGAGGGAAAACAGCCAATTGGTGAAGTGCATTAAAATGAAGTGCTGCAACCAAAGCAAAGTCACTATCCCAGTTTAAAATTCCTTACATATTAGTGAGCAACACAGCAAGGTGCAGCTCAAGTGTAAAATTATGACTGCCTACCCTTCTGAAGTTTAAGGCTTAACAGTCAAGCAAAGAAGAAATTACATGCTCATTTCTTACCTCTTAAGACTCTATTGTGAAATAATGCAAATGGAAAAGAAGGTTGTGAAACCAAACTGGGGCATGGAACAATCTCGATCAGCTGTGCAGCATTTCATCAGCCCTCAAAACTTTCATGATCTTGTGAAATCAGAGACAAGAGCTGGTATTTTCCAAGTTCATCTACTACCAAACATATTATTGGGTGTCCTCTCCTTTCACGAAAATTAGATATTGTTTATTCCTTATCTGTGTTTAATTTTTAAAGTTAGCTTTTAAGGACAGATGCTTTTTGTACCAGCTGTTACAGTTAGTGATCTGAAGCTTACCAAGGATTCTTGCTGTTCCTACAGCCTTCAATTCAAGGCCTGTTCTCCAAAATCCCTATACCATTTAAAGGCTCATACAAAAATATCTTTGACTATAAGCCAACACAACCACCCTTCCAAATAAGGTTAGCCCTACATGTTTTGCCCATCGCTTATCCAATTTAACTACTGCTAATCCATCGTCTCCTTCTGATCAATGATGACAACCAGTCACCCTGCTTTGCATCCCACAGGGATGACTTCTCCATCCTGCTGCTCTTCCTGAACAGCATCTTCTCCTTCTACCTAAGAAGTGCATAATCTTATAATTTGTCCTTCCTCTTTTTGTCCAAACCACCAGCTTCTAACATCCCCTTGGGTACAAGGGCTTCAGAACTCATATTTGTCCTCTGGTCATCCATGCCACCAGCTGCTCCTCACAGCTCTGTCGTCCACTTCCCTGGAGTAACCACTTGCTTCCTATAGATTTGATGCCAACAGTGCCAGTCCCATCACACATCCTGATTCTCAGGCTGTGCTGGGAGTTGTCTTCACCTCATTCCCTCTCCACCTTCAGTTCCTAGGGTTGGGAGCACAAATACACACAAGCAGCGTGTGCTCAAAGGGTAGAGTTCCTTAGAGCAGAGGTAATAATTTGATACTTCCAAATTATGTACATTCCTATTGCTGCACAAACAGCAAATGACAATTATTAGAATGACCAAACTCCAGCAGCTGTAGGGAAACAAAGCCATTAACTGTAGAGGGGGAAAATGTTTAACCACAGGAAATTCACTATTTATAAACATCCTCTTATAGACTCTCAAAACAACTTTCACTACAGAATACTTTCCTATTTATTTTTTATGTCCATATTTGTAGCCCACTGCTTGATTCAGAGCTTGAAGCAGTCTGACATCCAATGCCAAGAGTAGCTTTAATGCAACCTATTTACAGACAAAACTTACCACAAAAGACCACAAAAGGCAAGTGGCAGTTATTAATAAAAATATGCACTTCTACTGCCCACTAGTCTGACTTTGAAAGGTCATTAGAACAGTTACCCTCGCTGGACTGGTGTCACCAGCTGTAAAAGCTGTCTGCTCAGTAGGCTGCACACGGGCACAACTCCTCCTCCAAGCCCTTGTAATGCACAGACTAAAAGAACTGGCTCCTCAAAGCCCCATGACAGCTAAACCCTGGCACAGCTCACCAGATTTCTTCTTCCCCAGAAAACTGCAGTTGCCACAACTTCTAGAAAAATCACACTAAAACCGGCTAAAATGGGTAAGTCCCTTTGACAATGGATCTGCGAGTACTCACTACTAAGATAAAGACTAAAAGGTGGTGCATTAACGAGAAAATAAAAAATCAACCAAAGGAGACTGAGAGAGTTCATCTTGTTTAGCAGAGAAACTCAGAAGACAAGAGTGACAAACTTCACTTCTTCCACTGGAAAGCTACACTTGAGGACAACGAATCCACTTCCACTTTGAGCTCGTAATTTTGGAATATTAACATCTGACAGAGTTACCTGTAGCAACAGAGATCTGAAACTGGTCAGCCCAACACTGCCCCACATCACCCAGTCTGGTCAGTCCATCCTCAGCTGTCACAGCACAGCTACAGCACCCGCAGGTCACAGTCATCAGAACATGGGGCAATGCAAGACACATGGAAATCTGAGGATAAAAGACTCTGCAACACCCTTGCATGGGGAAAATTACGAAGTGTTCTCAGTTTCCTGAAACAAGACAGATGGTTTTATCTAGGAAGAGTAAGTTCTGCTCCTCTCCAGGCTGTTGTAATTCTTATGTATCACAAATGACTGCAGATATATTATGGGTAGAGCTGCAAGAGCAAATGCGTGCAAAAGGATTAAAAAAAAAAATTTAAAATTCCAAGTATTCCAAGTCTGTTTTTCTAGCAAAAAGGATTTTTAAATTATAATGGATCTCAGGCATTAAAATTACAGAATGCTACAAAACCCACGCAGGTAGTTGACATTTTTTTTAAGTCATAGTCAAGAGCAGCTAAATAATTCTGGGAAGACAACTGTACCTCACCAGATTACACAGGACCAATATTCAATTTTGTTCTTGGGGTTTACTTTTTGTAAAACAGTACCTGTGTCAAAGCTCTAACAAATATTACTCTGTTTGGAAAAGAGATGCCACATTAAGGTTAAAATTAAGCCTTCTCCTTAGCATGTTTACAAAAGCACTTATACACATTTTCTGACCCTTTTCCTATTTCAGCACTCATCTCCTCTAATGTTTCAGATTCTGGAGTAATTTAGTTCCCACAGAAACACATGCCTGCTTGCCTAGCACACAGCTAGAAAGTCTGGGGTTTTTTCCCCTTTATTTTAAGCAAGGGCTGGACCAAAGCAAGAGCCAAGACAGAGCCAAGGCTGCAGCCCATGGACTCCTGCCACACCGGCAGAGCCTCAGCGCAGCCTCTTTGCATGACAAATAAAAACAATTCCACACGACAAAGGCCCTTTTATCCGCAAAACTGCCTCGTACTGGACCTCAGTCATTTAAGTAACTGAACCTTACTTAAGTAAGGGGGGGAGAAAGAAAGAAAGTGGAAAAGAAACAACCTGCGAGGCAAAGTTTGTTAATGAACTATGGTTTACAAACACCACAGCCAAAGACTCAGGAGGCTGATGACTTGGTTGGCTGCACCTCAAAATATGGGAAGTCATTAACTCATAGAACAGATGGGCTGATACAGCACTGGCCTTGAAGGAGAAAAAAAAAAAATAAAAAAAGTAACAACCAAAACAAGAACACAGTGACATTTTTAGGCCTCTCTCCAAGAAGAATACACTCTGAAGAATATAAACGCTCCCTGTACCCAGAGCGTATAAGAAACAACAAAAACAGCAACAAAAGCAACTAGGAAAGATTTTCCTCCCATCCAGCTGAGCTTCCCTTTGCCTTCCGCTGGGCACAGATCCAGGGATTCGACCCTCCACGGCGGATGGGAGGGGGGGGTACCGCGACAGACCCCGGCGGGGTATCGCGACTGAGCCGGGCGCAGGGGGCGGCTGCGGGCGAGCGGCCCCGGGGAGGGGTCTCGTTGTGTCCCCGCTCCCCTGCCGCGGCCCTTCCCGGGGGGGGTCCCGCCCACAGCCGCCCCCCGCGCCCCCCGGCCCGCTCACCGCCGCGCTGGGCGCTGTGCCCCGCGGGCAGCCCGTTGTCGTAGGGCTCCCACGTCTTCTGCAGCGGGTTCTGCGTGAGCTCCCGCGCCGGCGACGCCGCCGCCATCCTCGGCCGCTCCCGGCTCCCTCTGCAGTGGCGGCGGGCGGGGCGCGGCGGGGCCGCCCCCGGGGCAGGGCGAGGGGGAAGCCGCAGCCCCGCGGTGTCCCCCGAGGGACGGGCACCCCGGCACCCCCGCGGTGTCCCCCGAGGGACGGGCACCCCGGCACCCCCGCGGTGTCCCCCGAGGGACGGGCACCCCGGCACCCCCGCGGTGTCCCCGAGGACGGGCACCCCGGCACCCCCGCGGTGTCCCCGAGGGACGGCACCCCGGCACCCCCGCGGTGTCCCCCGAGGGACGGGCACCCGGCACCCCCGCGGACCCGGGCGGGGGCAGCGGGAGGGGTCGGGCGGTGCTGCGAGCAGGTGGCTGCTCTCCCTGCTGCCGCACCGCTGTGGCTGCAGAGGACACCACGCTGCCTCAGAAAAGCCTTTTTTTTTTTTTTTTCCCCCTTCCTTTTTTTTTTTTTTAAATAGCACGCCCAGGGAGCATGCAATGCACGTTTTAAGTCGTGCCTCGAATGATACGGTTTTTTCCAATCGAACTCTGTTTTGACCCGAAGGGCAAACTGATAGCGATGCGGGAAAACATAAATAAACAATAGGTTTCTTACATCCCGTTTAGCTACTAAAAAAAAAAAAAAAAAAACCACGAACTACTGACAAATGGCCATGAAAGCTCCTGTGCTGCAGTGAGAGCGGTGGTTTGGCTAAACGCGACACCCAGCTGTTGCCTTTCCACATCACCTTTGTCAGCTTTACAGCTAGGGGAAACTCAGTTCATTCAACTGGGCTGAGCAAAGTCCTAAAAAAGCTCAATATTTCATTATTACATCCATCTCAAGGTATTTTACAGCAGACAAATGCAACGCACTGAAAATATGGTGGTGAAGTGCAATAGGCCTTTTCATTATTAATCACTCCATTATTATGACACTGGCCTAAACACAAGTGAAGGCCAGTACATACCTTTTTTTAATACTAACCAGATTCTGAGGATCATTTTCTGTTTTTCTATTCTATTACAAGCTAAACTGTACCTTTCTAAATAACAAAAAGCCATTTTTCAGAGACATTTGGCAAGACAGCCCCAGGAGAATCAGCACTGTTTTTCCAAAACCATGTTTGCTTGACCTGCCCTTCCCTCTGTTCAGAGTTTTTTCCTTCTCTCCAAGACTGATTACTGTTTTTCCACTGTAGGTGCCTGCTCTATATTTTTATCCGAGATTTTTTCCCCTGATTTTGTTTGGAGTTGACAGCTGACACAGGGATTGGCAGAGAGGTTAGGGGAGTTACATTACAAGGGTCAGAAAAGTAGGAGCAGAGTGAGGGAGTTTTTGAATGCTTAAAAGCTTCTTGGTTTCTTCTGTTGCTTATGTATTCAATTCCAACAGTTGCCAAAAGAGGCATGAGCAGGAACAGTCCAATCTGTGTTCCAGGTTAATCCCAGAAACACGCACAGGATGTTAGAACAAGCAGATGACAGTACCCACCTCAGCCTCCTGATCCCAGCAAGGCATGCCAGCACCAGGATCCTCCAGCTTTCTTAACACTACCTCCAGTAAAGCCAGTCAAGTCTACAGCAGATGTAATATTACCAGAATGGAGAGATTAACAGGAATGCCAATTTATAAACCACGCTTCTCAGGCTTGTTTCACATTAAATAGAAAACATATGAAATCCTTCCAGTCTCTAGAAACAAAGTTTGTACTTCCTTCCTGCAAATCCACGCCCTGCACTAAAACTGAAACTTCGCTCACACACCTGCCTCGCAGCCAAGAACACTGGCCTGATGTTGTTCATACAAAAATAGCATTTTTCTGAGGTCCACAGGGTGAATGATTGCATTTCTAAGTATCTCCTCAAAGCACCAGGCACACTGTCAGTGAATTCTCTTCTCACTCAGGCAGATTTAAATCAGTGGCACCTGTACAAAAGTTTGGTAAGAGTTTGTCCAGGTATCTGCGATGACATTAGAGGTGTGCATGGACACCTGCTAGCCTTTGTTTTTATGAGGTAAAGATTTCAGCTTGGCTGATGACAAGCTTATGTGATTCTGTTGTTGGTCAAACTTATCCAAGGTTTAGTTGGTTTATGGCTTGTTTTTATAACCTCAATGCAGTAATGGACTATTTGACCGAGGACACAGAGAAAGCAAATACAGAAATCTTGTGCCACTCCTGAGCTCTTGTTTCAAAACATGGCTTACATGGACACTACATTCAATTCCTGGAAAAAGACAGAACAAAAACATTGCTCATTAGATTACCAATAAATGATAGAAATCACCTTCTGCACAATCTCATTGTCATCAGACCCTGTCCTAATGCAAAGGCTCGAGGAGTGAAGCAGGTGAAGAACTGGAGACCCAGCTTTGTTTGCTACAAGGAAACCACAAATAAGCCTTTACTCCTGGGAATGCTTTTACACAAAGCTTCTGCTCCCAGGGCCATGCCAAGCAGAAAGCTTTCCTGAGAAACCACCTCCCTAAAGAGGCAAAAAACACTGAGAGGAAAAGCAGTCTTGGAAAATTAACTGCTGTACACAAATAACGGAGCCAAGGGACAGAGTTACTCTCTGGAAACAACTGACTGACAAGACAAGAAGCTTGGGGTTTAATGTATACAGCAAGTGGTAATTATTTAGAGACAGGGAGAAATAACAGAGACTGAACCAAGGCTTCTGCGTGATCCTACAGAAACCATACTTGTATCTGTAAACACACTGTATCACACGGTAGCCATATAATCCAAGTTTCACAATACACCCAAGTTACTTCCATGTATCTCGTTTCCCTAGTAAAGACATCACTTCATAGTCCGACAGCCCATAAAACATCCATAAACCACCCAACATCTCTGCCTCCCGTCTTTCCACCATCGCCCTGGCAGTGCACTCTCGCCACTTGGAACAAGGGAAAGAAGATTTTCCAGTCTTCCAGGTGCCCACGCCCTCACCACACTGAGCAGAAAAACCCATTCACAGGCTCTTACGCAGCGCGCAGAGGATCCAGGAGAGCTCAGTGACCCAAGAGAGATCCGTGACACCACTGAGGGCCGCGTGGGCACAGCGCCAGAGGTGAGTCAGCATCAAGTGGGGGTTCTGCGGAACCTGAGCGCTGCGGCGGCTATTCCCCATCACCGGGCACATCCGCGGGTGCCGCTGGAGGCCGCGCTTGGCGCGGGGACACCCCGCGGGAATTCGGGGACACCGCGCGGATCCCGCAGTTCCCGGGATCGGCGCCAGGCGGAGCCCTGGCCCCTCCCGCGGGCGCTCCGGCTGCGGGCGCCCCCCGGCGGTGGCGGCGGGAACTGCACCGCGCTCGGCACCGCCGCGGGGACACGGGGAGCGACACGGGAGAGGGGACACGGGAAGGGGGGACAGGAGAGGGGACACGGGAAGGGGGGACAGGAGAGGGGACACGGGAGAGGGGACACGGGAGAGGGGACACGGGAGAGGGGACACGGTGCTGCCTGTGCCCCTGCTAGGGCAGCAGGGGCTGCCGCGGGGCCACAACTGGTCGAGCCGCGGCAGATGGTTTCCAGTTGTCCGGGAAAAATGTGGTAATTCCCTGTTATGCTTCAGAAACGTACAGCCAAGCGATGCCGGGATCACCGTGACAGGCGATAGCAAAGCCCCACAGAAGTAAAATACACCAGGACTCGGCTATTAAGCACCCAAGGTTACAGAACACTACAGGGAAGAAAAGTTCATCTACTGATCCTGAGTTATTTCCTCACACAAATGGAAAAAAATATTGGGGGTGAAGGGAGAGTAGTCCACATTCAGTCCTAAATATGCCCTTTCCTTTCAGATATTAATCACCAACAAATTGTATTTCAGCATTAACCTACAACTTCAACTTCTCTAAAGCAATTCCCTTTGCACTAAATCATGAGGTATATTTTTTCATGCCCACATTCTCAGCGCTCACTTTGAGAAAACCAATAGTATCTGACCTCTACATACACAACTGGCAAGAAATATCTGGGAAAAACCTAAATTCAAACAAACACTCTCTACTGCAACTGGCAGGTTACTGCTCTAGTTAGAAGTGGCAAACAGGAATTAGTTTAAATGACCCCATCTTAAAACTGGTATCTGCATTTTCTACATATGGCAATAGTGAGAGTAGGGGAGATCAGAGGTAGAGTCCTTACTCTCCTTTAATAAGGTATAGAGACAGGGCTGTGTGCTCCCCAGTTTATAACTACTCTGAAAGACATGAGCCACCCAGCACAGCACCAGTTTTGTTTCAGCACAATTTTAAGGAGGCACAGAGGAACACAGCATTTGTAAAAATCATTACATATGGCTGTTATTCAAGAAATACAGACACACACCAGCACAGCCTTCAGCATACACATATCTCATATATCCAGCTTTGACATCCAGCCAATGCTCCCCAATTTCACATGGATTAGCTGTCTCTGACCAGCTAACTGGCAGCCTGCTACACTGCATCACAGTGTGTGTATAGAGCAGACAGGAAAATTCCTATTGAGTTTATAATTGATTTTATCTTTTAATGAAAAAAAAAAAAAAAGAAGAAAAAAAAGGTATGTCAAGTGTACCTTCAGCAGGCTCGTGGCAGTCCTTCATTGGCCAAAATCTGTGCAGCTGGAAGCATCACCCGAGGACAGCAGCAACAGCTATCTAATATATACAAGGCTGTTACAACACTGCAAGCCAATGAGAGGAGTCAGTGACCAAACACACAACTATGCTTCACCCTTTTTGTTCACAAGTAGCAGCACTCCAACGTTTCAAAACAGGGTTTCAGGTGGAATGGGAGAGATTTCTCCCCACATGCCTCATGTGGGGCACGATGATGATGGTTTTGTTTTGACCAAGTATTTGTTCGGGTGCTCTTACCTGATGAAAAGATTTGCAGCAGCACCCAGTTTCTACTGTAATGACCAAAACTACTTCAGAGCAGCTGGGACACTTGGCCTGTTCCATCACATCCCTTATTACACTGCTGATACCTCAGCAGGGAACAGACTGTTCCCTCCCCCAAGTAATTCACATATTCCTGAAGTCCAGATCAAGCCCGGC